ACAATTCCAGGGTGTGGTTCTCTTTCCTCCCATCTTATCCTTTCGTTCCAGTGGCTTCAGATGTGATGCAAGGACAATACCCCTGCGGGCAAAAGACAAAGATTGGGGGATGGACTTAATGCTGTGTCTGTGGATGGGAGGCAGCTGGACTTTGCGTGATATAGGTTGAACCTGTTCACAGGCCAATTTGACAATAATAACAATATTAACGACAGCTGACAGCTTTTGAGCACTTCACACGTGCCAGACACCGTGCTCAGAGTCTTACGTGCAGTAGCTCATTTAATTATAACAACAGTTACTCTCTTTTACAGATGGGGAATTGAGGCTCAGAGAGGTTAAGGAGCTTGCAAAAAATCACACAAGTAATAGCGAGTGATGTCAGGACTGAAGCCCAGAATGGTTTAATTCCAGCGCACTTGCTGTTAACCACTATAGTCTGCCACAACAGAAGGGCCTGAGAAAAATGGTGGTGAGCCAACCTGAACTCCTCATAGGAAGCCACCCTCTGTTCCACTGCCCGTAGCTTGGCAGCATTCTCACGTTTGTATTTCTCATCAGCAGTGATTGCAGCCTGCAGCTCTTTCTCCAAAGCCATAAAGTCGATGACATCATTCCTTTCCATAGCCGTGCCTGGGAAGGCAGAAGGAATGCACATCAATGGAGGGACAGTATCAGGGGAAAGAGGATGCCTCTGGGTTCTTTGCCAGAACACAAAATGATCAAAGTGACTCTGGATATCATGTCACTTATCTTGGTGGGGCAGGGGGGAAGGGTTGTTACAAAAATCTAGTTTTCTACTTTATAGAGATGAACTGACTGACATCATGAGGACTTACACAAGACGTCACTGAAAATAAGATAGGAGTCCTGACTTTTGGTTCGGAGTCCTGTCTAAATTTTGTTCTCTGCCTCTAAATATATATATGTGTATACACACACACACAGACACACACACACATTTGACTGGTAAGGGGATCTTAACCCTTGACCTGGTGTCAGCACCACGCTCTCCCAAGTGAACTAACCGGCCATCCCTATATAGGGACCTGAACCCGTGGCCTTGGTGTTCAGGTCTGTTCAGAACAGACCAGGGAGGAAGCCAAAGTGGACATACACTAATCCCTCCACTCTTTAATTCCTTCCCATTCCCCGCTCCCCCCAATCCAACCAGGGCCCACTT